ATTTCTGTAGCACATGGATTTTTCTGTTCACTATCTCCTGATAGGCACACTTTTTGAAAAACAAGAGAACTGTGTTGTTAGATCCAGGAAAGGGCAAATTTTGGTATGCAGTTTCTATTTGGCTGATCAACTAGTTTATTTATCGTAGGCAGGACTTTTTTTTGTCATAGAACGTACCAGAACAGCGTTCCGGCACCTTTTTTTGACGGATTTTTCCAAGTGATTGTGACTCGCTCTGTTGGGCATAGCAGGTTGGTGGCAAAAATCATTAACATAGTGCCTGCGGGCTGCTTGTGTGTCGGCGCTGCTTGTGAGGGCGCTGCTCGGCTTGGGACGCTGCTCGGCTTGGGATCGGTCGTGTGGTCGCGCGCTGAGTGCTTACTGCCGGCGGCGACCATTATGTTCATGTGTGTGTAGAGTGACTGGCTATGTACAAAGGTAAATAAGTTCTTTATTTCAAAAAAAGTTGGTGAATTAAATCTTTTTTCAGTGTAAAAGTGTGACCCCAAGACGTGAGTTCTGGCACTCTTTCTTTCTTTCTTTCTTTCTTTCTTTCTTTCTTTCTTTCCAAAAAAACACTGATCCTAGGTGCCCAGGCATTATTAAGTGTCCAGATTGGCTTCATATTTGCAGAATTCTCCCCTGTCCCTAAAGCTGGGTGCATTTATTTAAAATATGTATGAGATAAGCCTCAGTACCCAAAGATGAAACTATCCGGTGCTACTTGATAGCCATCATTTTGTTGTCTAAAGGCAAAGTCTTCTATTTTATTAATGCATCTTTGTTTTTTAATTTCCTGTTAGTTCCTTTGGAGACCAGTTGTCAGACAAAAAGGATGACAAGATTTTGAGTAAATGAATACATAAATAGAATGCAGGCCACACTCTTCAGAAGTCTGAGCAGAAAGAGGAAATGGAGCCAGGAACTGTCAGAGGTGGAGTTTGATCGTTGGGATGATGTGCCAGAGGTGTGAAAAGTCACAAGCACTTGTCATCCTTGAGAGAGTAGCTCCCCTGACTGGCAACATGTGCTCTTCGTGGATTTACTGGGCAGTACTGGTGAGGAGCAGCACTGGATGGCTCGGTGGTGGGTCTGTGCATTTCCCAGCATGCCTCAGAATGGCAGTCGATTGCAGCGAATGGGAATTGGCTGCTAGGTCTTATCCCTTCAATACTGCTCAGACAGCTGGGGGCGGGGGGAGCATGGTGAAAGCAGGACATTCCTGGTGGATTCGAGTGGGATTTGTGGGCCCAGGCAGGTGCCCAAGTATCCCAGCTTTTGTCACGGACCCTGGTCTCCCAATGTTTCCTTCCACAATGTTCTTCCCCTACCTAGTGGTAGACTCCTGAAAGTCCCTTGGACTGCAAGGAGATTAAATCAATCCTAAAGGAAATCAAGCTTTGGTTAATTGGAAGGGTGGATGCTGAAGGTAAAGATCAAATACTTCAGCCACTTAATGAAAAGAGAGGACTCACTGGAAAAGATCCTGGGAGGGATAGAAGGCAAAAGGCGACTTCTTTTATATTTTTCATTTATTTTATATTGTTAATTTTAATTTTATATTGTTATTTTTTTGTATTTTATTGTGTTGTAAGCTGCCCCAAGGCTTCAGCAAGGGGCGGCATAGAAATGTTTTAATAAATAAAAAATAAATAAAAAGGAGAAGGGGATGGAAGAGGATGAGAGGTTGGATGGTGTCACGGAGGCAATGAACATGAATTTGAGCAGACTCTGGGGGGCTGTGCAGGATAGCGGGACTTGACTTATGGGGTCATGAAGCGTTGGCCACGACTGAATGACAACCTGGTGGTATTCTCAGCAGCAATTCCATTAGTTCTCTCTCCCTTTGCAGGTACAGGAGAAACCTTTCTGGAGGTTTTTCTTCTCTTCAAACCCTGCTTGTCATCTGGTTCTTTGATCTCTTCCATTCTCCCCCTCCCCACTAGTTTTTAAATTTTATTTTAATAATGCTTTCTGACTAGCTGAATGCATTTCTCTGGAGGCCCCAAGAGGAGCACCAGGGAAAAGGCAGAAATGAAAGGAAGCACTTGTGTATGAATTTTGCAGATGCCTTTGGGTTAATTAACTCTTCTTCCCCATGTTGGGAACAGCTTGACTTACCACTGAAGAGCTGAAAGTGAAAGAGCTGTAGATTTTCCCATAGTCAAGCAGAAATTATAATATTTCCCCCACCCCAATAATCTGCAGAAGTATCTTTTAGAAATGCGGTTCTCATTCTTTTGGGCTAGGATGGATGTGACTTAATGGTGGTGGCAAATGGAACTCCTTGGAGGGGCAGAAAGGAGCCATAAACTATGAAGAGATGCTTTAAGTAGGAAGAGGTTCTATTAATCTCATGGCTTTTGCAGAAGGGAAGAAAACACGGTGCCCTCTCACAAGAATAACAAGCCGGAGAACACAAAAGCTCCTTGGGCTTGGGGCAGACAAACCGACCCCATTACAATTTGCCATCTAGCCAGCAAGTTGCAAACTTAAACCTGCAGATCCAATGGAAATGGCTCAGCCATTCTGATCTTTCGATGTGTGGCCACCTTAGTTTCGAAAATGCACAACCTCAAAATGCACCCTGGGATTGTGACGTGCATTTTACTGCAATGTGGAGCCTTCCACAGTTGACTTATCCCCCCTGCTTTGTTTTCAATGATGAATAATGGGGACCGTTTAAGAAAAAGTCCACTGGGGGAAGCTGAGCTTGAAGCTTGCAGAGCTGGAGCATTATCTGGCATAACTTCTTGATTGCGTTTTTGAATGTATGATTTCGAATTGTACCCCTCCCCTCTCAACTAGCCGTAGGCCTATACTTTAATATAGGTTGCAACTTTATATCCACTTACTTGGAAGTAAGCCACTGAATTCAATGGGACTCCTCAGGTAGATGTGTATGGGATTGCTGGCTGTTCGGTTCATGTGGTTTTGAATGGTGCTATAAATTATTTTGTAAAGGTTATACTCGATATGTTTGGTTTATGTAGTTTCCTATGTTAGAAACATAGAAGCAGAGTGAGTCAGAAGGGGTCTCCCGGGCCATCTAGTCTGACCCCTGGCTCCAGCCGGCTCCACTCACGACATGGCCACCATACCTTTGAACACCCTCACCGGTGGGGCCTCAACGACCTCTTGTGGAAGCCCATTCCATTCCATATTCTTTAATTCTGGATTTTAGTTTTGCTTGGGCTATTCATTTACTTTAGCAGCTGAGGGGTTAAAGTAAGCAACACCTGAGTATCAGATGGGGCAGGGCAGGAAAAGATTGGAGAAATAGCATGAAATAGTCCTGTATGTTGGGCCATGCCATGGTTTGCTGTGGGTGTGTGAGAGCTCATGGGAAGCGGGAGATGGCCAGAAACCAAGCCAAGAGAGGTTCTAAGAAGCACCATGTGGGTAAAGGGAGGCTTCGCTGGGGCAGGCAATCAAGCCATGGGGAAGATGGGTGTTGGAGTCAGGACCTTCTCAGTCACTGGCTTGGGTGTTCAACTGCTGCTGTTCTGCAGCTCATCTTTTTCAGCAAATCTTAAGGGTTTGCTGGGCCCTTTTCACCAGATCAGGCAGGGTCTGTGTCGAAGAAAAGCGCACGTTCTCAAAAGTCACCAGAGACCGACGGTGCCATTGATGGGAATGTCTGATGATTAATTTTTGGATGAAGTGTTTTCTTCTGCCCGGCATCCGATGTTTTATAAATGAGCAATTAAATACAGGGGGAGAAAGCGAACAAGTGTTGGCAGGAGGACAGGAGCCCAAAATGAGCTTTTTCGGAGTGTGATAGTTATTGTTAGTTAAATTACTTTCAGCAGCTTTGCTTAGCTCATGCTTTCCTGTCTGCTCTTCTTGTTTTTTTAAAAAAATAGATAATTGCTCCCATTTTTGTTATGTCTCTGAAACTGCTGGAAAATAGAGCGGGACACACATTGGCTTGGCCGGTACGAGTCATGCTCTTCTGCCCCAAACCACCTCTGAGGCCCTCCTGTCTCGGCGTCAAGGCCAGGGCCAGAGTTTGCCTTCATGAGGCAGCTGCCAAGCCCCCTTGAACCAGCAGGGGGTGCTGTGCCCATCCTCAGGACCAGCTGCTCTACTTCCCCTTCAGAGCCATTGGAGGACCACTGAAGGCTCAAGACGATGGGGGAGATGGTACCACCTCCACCGTGCGCGTTCAGGAGTTCCATCCAACAGGCAGCTCACTCTTGCCACCCCAACCACAACCAAGAGTGTGCTAGTTTAGGGGGCGCAGAGGCGGCGGCGGCTTATGTGCTTCTGCACCATAATCAAGGGAACCCGCCAGGGCTTGTAGGGGAAAGCGTTCCCCTTCTGTTGCTGCTGCCCTTCTTGGCTTATTTGTTCAAAGCTTTTCTATCCCATCCCATTACAAAGAGTCTCAGGACAGTCTTGAAGTAAAGCACAGCATCACATCTTTTATAAAACCCCAATTAAAATAATAATTAAACCTCAAAATGTTGGGAAAATAAAATTTTCAGGGGAGCGTATTCCATAGTTGGGGTGCCACCACAGAGAAGGCCCTCCTCCAGGCAGTCCAAATCTCCTTGAAGGAGGGCTCCCAGAGCAGGACCTCCATCTCAAGGGGTGGGAGGGCACACAGGGAAGAAGGTGCTCCTTCAGGTACCCAGGACCTAGACTTTTGCCTGAAGGACAGACAGTCGCTTGGCCTTTGGTGTAGACCAGAACAGTGTCAGTGTCAATGGAGCTTGGAGCGGCGTTTCCTCTGGCGGTGTCCCAGTATCCCCAGCCAGCTGGGTCACCAGACCTGCAGGGCACCAGGTCAGCAAGAGGGGGCTGTTAGCTTTTAGAAACTGTCTGGTAGTGGTAGAGATTCAGGGCCCTACCTGTGTGTGTTTGGATGCCAGCCACAGGGTGCAGAGTCCAGAGCCGAGACCCAGCTCAGTGAGACTCCTCAGACTGTGTAGCTTGGTTTGCTTTGTATTGCAGAATTTGACATAATACCGTCTCTCTCTCTCTGTTCTCGTTAGGATTCTGGCCACAGCTGGGACCCAATTTGACCTGCGGACCCTGAGGGCGGTTCGAGTATTGAGGCCGCTGAAGCTTGTCTCAGGAATCCCGAGTGAGTATTGCTCTTCCTGTGACACTGTTTCCAACCTAGTGCTCTCCAGGTCTGTGGAGTTTTGGCTTCCATCATCCCCAGCCAGGCCATGCTCTACCTCCCTGTGCATTGTTGCTGGACTTGTTCTTTCATTTCTCTCCTACCCCATAGCTTGAAGCTCTCTGTCTGGTTAACAGCATCGTATAGAGAAAAACAATAAAATACAATAGCAACATCGCAAAAGCAACAAAGCTAAACTGAATTTAAAGCAGCTTAACATATAGGATAAAACATGGTTAAAATACGGTTAAAAAGATGCAGTCAAGATAACTTATCCCTTCAACGATTCCCTGGGTAACCAAGGAGATCTTTGCAGGCTTCTGCGTAACAGGCTGGCTTGGGCTGGCACCGAAAAGATGGCACGTTTGGGTGGGTCTCAGTATGGAGGCAATTCCAAAGAGGAATTCCAGCTTTTGTAGTCCTAAGCCCTGCAGCCTTTATTGTTGTCGTTTGCTGCACGTTCCCTGCTCAACAGCGTCCTTTTTGTCCAGGCCTTCTGAGAGAAGCTTTCACACCTGTCCCAAGTAGCTTCATTTTGGGCATCATCTAGATGGACTCGATGGCCTTCATGGCCCCCTCCAACTCTTCTGTTCGACTCTAGATAGAGAGATGAGCTATGAGATGCAATAGGGAGCAGAGCAGAGAGTACGGGAGAAAAGGGTCCTACTGGCCGAGGAATTTCATCTCCATGCATTAATTTGGGGAGTGGGTGTAGAGAGGCCCTGTAATGCGGCTTTTCCCTTGAAGTTGGAAGCTTCTCATTTTGCCCTGGTGGTGGGCAAAAGGAACAAGCTTGCAATGGAAGGACCCTCCACCGGTCTTGCATAGCTGGGCCTTCCCTCTGTCCATGATGCTCATGGAGATCACTACCTTGCTTTTAGGTACGAGTTTGCATGGTTATAACTTCTGGGCACTGTCGTGGCTTGAACGCGGCTTCCTTCAGATGGTTCTCTGCTACCTGAACTCTAAAACTACTTCTGTGTATGTGGGGGGCAGCCTTTGTCAACCTGGTACATCTCAGATGTTTTGAACTTGTAGGATTCTTGAGTCCTGGCTGGGCTGGCTAATGTTAATGCGAGCTGGTCCAAAACATCTGGAAGACAACAGGGTGTGGAAGGGCTGCAACAGGGCAGGTTTTTATTCCCGCTCAGTCTGAGCAGCAGCTTTCTTTTGAATCTGAACAAGATTAGACTACGTTTAAACCTACATGATAGAGCTTAGACAACAGCGTTATAAGTAAACTCAGAACTTCCGGAAGCAAGATGGAGCCTTTTTAAACTCTTCTCAAAAACTCCTTACAGTTTGATGACCCATTTTTAAAGCAAGCTGAGATAATTTGATTCGGAAATTTGCCATCAGGATGGGGGAGAAATTAGTTCAGTTTGCATTTCAGCACGATGATACTGAATTTGCACTTTGCAAAATAATTCACTTAAGAAAGCTCAGTGAAACCTCGGTGTATGTGCAGTGACTGCATATTTTGCAATGCAGTTCACCAACTGAAAAGGCATTTGTTAGGAGTAAACAAAAATGCTTGCATTTGGGGAAATAATGTGCAAAATGCATTGGGTTCTGGAAAAATGCTTGCAAAATCTGCAGTGAAGGGGAACTCGAAGTGCCTAGGTTGTGAACAAAGCCCATGGAAGTGTGTGTGTGTGTGTGTGGGTGGGGCGGGGGGTGTGCTGACATTAGGCCGGAAAAATGAGAAGCCAAGCCAAAATCCAGATCTCTCCACCCGTTGTTTGCAGGCATTGTAACAAAATCAAAGAAGCGCGTGGTCACAGCAACCCTTCCTGGCATACGGATGTGACTCGTGCAGCCAGCGGAGCTCCCGGCAGCTGGCTGTGCCTGCAGCTTTGTTTCTTTCCAAGCCGTTGGCATAAAATCACGACTCCACCTTGGCTCCGGTGAGAGCCTCTCTCTCCGGCTTTGCTTGGAAAGGGTATCTTCTGAGGGTGAAGAGCAGGGAGGTTGCCCAACAGTTGTACAGGCTAGAACCGATGGGTCTGGATAAAGCTGCAGCGGCCCTCTGAGGAGGAGAAGGAGCTTTTCCACAGTGTCCCACTGATCCTGGCATCCCAGGATCAGTGGCTGACTCCCTCCCAGCCTCCCCCCACTGTAACGCCTGCCTTCAGAAATGTATTTGTTAAAGTCCTTTTGGAAGGGGATAGAAATGGCAAAACGAATAATCATCCATGACGTGGCAAGGAAGACTTGAGGTCTGCAGACTTGCCAAGTCGGTGGGAAGGGAATGGCTGTTCCTTTCTAACCTGCGCCATCCAAGGCCATTGGTCTTGGTCAGGTCCCTGATTTTTGAAATCCTGTTGTCAGGGAAAGGGCCATAGTTCAGGGGTGGCACATGGGCTTTGCAGTCTCTGGTTCAAGTGGCAGCATCTCTGGGAGGGGCTGGAAAAGACCCCTGTTTGAATCCCTACAGAGCAGTTGCTTCTCTGTCAAGACTCACGGATCGCTCCAGGCTTCTCTCATGTGAGCCTGCGGGGAAGGGCCCTCTCTCGGTCCCACCACCCTCACTGGCAGACGTGGTGGGAGTGCAGGATAGGACCTTCTCAGTGGCTGCCCCAGGCACCTCCTGGGTTGGAGCCTTCCCTGTTACATTTCCATAAGGAGGCTAAAACCTTTTTATCCCAGCAGGTAATTAAAAGTGTCTAAGGTTGCATGGGGTTAATTTTACTCTCCATATGTTTGTAGTGTTTTTAATCTAGGGAGTGGTTTCATTTTAAAATTGGATTGATTCGATTACCTTTTTAACTTTTGTATCCCTTTGAATGCTCTAATTGTGTGAATTTTAATGGTATGAGACGACCACCCAGAGTCTCAGTCTCTGGGAGCGGTGGGAAATCGTCGTCATCGTCATCATCACTGTAGCCAGCATGGTGTGGTTAAGAGCATGGGACTGGGACTCAGGCAATTTGAGCTCCAGTCGTCGCTCAGACCCAGAGCCAAGTGGGAAGGTCATGGAGTCTTTGCCCGACCTACCTCACAAGATTGTGGTTGGGATAAGATTGATAGAAGGGAGAAGAGAATCATGTAAGCCTCTTGGAGTTTGTTGTAGGAAAAAGGTGGGATAGAAACCCAATCAATAAAAACTGCAGTACCTGTTTAGTGGACTTTGACTTGTTTGTAAGGTCAGTGACTTGATGTAAGGTCAATGTAGGCATCTCCCAATAAGGCTGGGACAGACTCCTCGCTGGATTCAGCCCAGCCCTCAAATACATTCGCTCAGACCCCCAGGAGTGGAGGCAGGAACTTGGGTGCTGCTGAAGCTCTAGCCATGAGCCCAGGTGGCATGTCCCCGTTGCAACCTGCCGTTCGTAGGGAACGCCCCCTGTCCCTCCACCAAAGAGCCGACTTCACGCTGCTGCTTCTTGTTTAGGTCTGCAGGTTGTCCTCAAGTCCATCATGAAGGCAATGGTGCCTCTCCTTCAGATTGGGCTCCTCTTGTTCTTTGCCATTGTGATGTTCGCCATCATCGGACTGGAATTCTACATGGGCAAGTTCCACAAGGCCTGCTTCTCCAACGAAACAGGTGAGGGTAACCTGCTTCCAGAGGGGCAGGGGCGGGTAGGGGCTGAAGGTGAGCAATGGACAGCGGCATGAAGGTGAGTTCAAGCAGGGCCAGCCCCAGATATTCTGGGGCAAGGAGGCGTAGTTCTGAACCCATCCCCAGGAAATGGCGAATGCTAAGAAAAAATGCAAAGTTGTCTAATTTATATAGGCTGCAGAATCCCACTTCATATGGTTGGGTTTAGCTCCATGCACATTTTGAAGTTCGTTTGTTTGGTTTTTCCCATGCAGAGTTAAGTATAACTCCAGCTAGTGCATCTGCTAGGTCATCTTAAAGTTAGGGACCTACTGGCCATTTGGAAATTTTCACTCTGTCGGTGTGGATAACTTGCTTCCAGATACAGTGAGCCAGTCTTGGTTTGAGGGCCATCTTCATTCATTCAGCTTGGTGGGGTGCTGGGCATTTTCCCACAGGGAGGATACCTTATAGGATTTCTCCATGGCTGCTGTTGGTGGCAAGTTTATTTTGGGTGTGGGACTCCCATAAAGCTCAAAATACCGGCTACAATGGATACGCTGACACATCGAATGCAACGAGTCACCAGAATTTCCTCATGTGCCCTGAAACCATGCCCTGATGGCTGGGAGGGGGCAGGAAGAAAAGTCCCTCTGCTCCATCAGTGGTCCAATTTGGAAATTTGCACTCCATGTGATGAGCACCAGCTGGGAGTCCTGGGGGAAGACCTATAGAACAACAAGTTCTTCCCTCCAGTAGTTGCCTCAGCAACACCGTCTCCTCTGGGACTTTTGCCTGACCCAGTTCCTGCTCTGCTCTGCCTTACCTTGTCTGCCATATTTGGTTGCTCCTGAAGCCCTCCTGGTCACCCTGCTCCAAGGTACCGTCTCCTTGCTCTGTTGTTCACTCAGTGACCTCTTGCTCACTTTGGACTACACTCTTGACTCACTCCAGGGCATACTCCTGCTTCCTGACCTTCGGGGCAATACCAACCACTGTCTGTTGGCTCTGCTCTTCCTCCTGCTGCCAGTCAAGAGGAAGACGACAGCTGCTGCTTGAAGCTACCTGAGATGCTCTGGAGGCATCTAAGCCACCTTCAGTAATCTCCAAGGAGACACATGAATCTGACCAGTCCTTATTTGCTGAAAAGAAACATGAGTCTCCTTGTGCAAAGTGACAGTATTCCAAGCAGCGAAAGTAGGTCAGGGGGTGGGGAGCCAGCTAGTGGAGCAGTCTCCTGGAATATTGATGGGAAGTGAGGAATTCATCTCCGAGGCAGGAGCTGTGATGTAGCAGCAGAGCGGGTAGGTGTTAGAGATGGGGTTTGAGGGATCCCTGGGGGAGTTAGATGTGAATGGAGTTGCTGAGGGTGGGAAGGAAAGAGGGACCTAGATTTGCTCGGTGGTTCAATACTCGTGAGCATGGATATAAGCCCTGGAAGCAGCGAGATTCTGGGTTGCTGGAATGTGGGCCTTTAGAATTCTGATCCTACAATGGAGATAGATTTTCAGTTTGGGTTTGCTCCATTTCAGCATCTCTCCAGGAATTTCAGAAGTGCTTTTGTCATGCTCACATCGCTGACTGTACCATCCTGCCTTGTTTCCCTCTGGAGCATTGAGCCCTCAAGAGGGGAAGTCTGAAGTGGGGCTCTCCTCCCCAGTGGAAGAAGCACAGGCTGGGTGCAAGAAGGACAGTATCCCATCTGTCCCTGGCGCTCCCCTTTCACTGCAGCTCTTGTCTTGGCTTTGTAGGAATGATCCATGGTTCTACCTGGTAACATCGGAGGTAGCAGTCAGCGCTATGGATCGCTCCTATAACACTGAAAAGGCAAACTGGAATGGATGAGGGTCCCCACAGATATAGCCAGTAGCCTCATCTGGGTTTAAAGTCCTTCCAGGGAAAAAAAGAACTAAACAGCCAGTCCATCAAAAGCCTAAAGAGGCGGAGTTTGGCATTCCAAGCTGGGGAAGTTTCCTGCACGAGTGCTGCATTTCCATTCCCACCAACGGGTGCCTTAACCCAGGAAAGTCCACTGAGACCATTCTGGCCCTGTTGAGCGTTGTGGGCAACTTGGTGGAATTTCTGATTGCAGCCAAGAAATTAAAAGACGCTTGCTCCCAGGGAGGAAAGCTGTGGCAAATCTAGGCAGCATACTAAGAAGCAGAGACATCACCCTGCCGACAAAAGTGCGTATAGTCCAGGCTACGGTTCTTCCAGTTGCAATGTATGGCTGTGAAAGCTGGACCATAAGGAAGGCTGAGCGCCCAAGAATTGAGGCGTTTGAATTGTGGTGCTGGAGGAGACTCCTGCGAGTCCCTTGGACCGCAAGGCGATCAAACCAGTCAGTCCTAGAGGAGATCAACCCTGACTGCTCTTTAGAAGGCCAGATACTGAAGATGAAACTCAAATACTTTGGCCACCTAATGAGAAGGAAGGACTCCCTGGAGAAGACCCTGATGCTGGGAACGATTGACGGCAAGAGAAGAAGGGGACGGCAGAGGATGAGGTGGCTGGATGGGGTCACTGGGTGTGGGCTTGGGTGGCCTCCAGGGGATGGTGGAGGACAGGAGAGCCTGGTGGAATGTTGTCCATGGGGTTGTAATGTGTCAGGCATGACTCTGGGACTAAACAAATAGCAGTTCTACACCCCTTTTAACCTTGCTCTACGTGCATTGCCAGGGCTTGCCAAACTCATGGACTGAACCAACAGAGTATCATTAGAGGGATTTTAGTGGGCACCTGCTTAGGTATTGCCAGAAAAGAGGGGCTGCATTGTGAAAAAGGAGGGCGAAAAAAGACCTCAGTTTGCGCGTACTTATTTGCAATGTAGGTAAGTGTCAGTGATTTCTAGACAGAACCGGAAAAGTTGACAGTGATGGCTTGAGTTCCAGCTGGAGACGAGGTTAGACCACCTGAGGGGCAAGATACGCAGGACTGCCTCCGTGAAGATGGCACGGAACATACAATTGGTCCAGGTTATGCAGTAGGTGCTAAAGGAGAGCAGCTGCCAACTTCCCCACTTAACCTGATCTATTTCTGGGCTCCATTCCCGTGTGCCTGCCCAGCCCCTGAGTTCCCCCTCAAAGGCCTTTCTCTGCCCCCCACCCCCATTTGAGTGGCTACAAGGAAAAACGTCCCTTTCATGCTTGGAATGTTCTCCTTAGTGGAGGGTTGCTTGGCATCTACTCCATTTGCAGGCGATTAACCTCCTATTATAAATGTCTGATCATTAGTTTTGGATGTTCTTCTATAGAGTTGTAGATTTGTTTTGATGTATTTTAATGCATTTTTTCAATGTTTTTAATGCTTGTATTGTAAGTTGCCATGATGATATATTTAAAACACACTTTGGACCTCAGTTCACAGAAGCTCCAGCTGACTTGTCCAATGACAGTGGGCCATAATTGGGGTCCAAGACATCTGGAGGGCGCCAGGTTGCCTACCCCTGGGTAAAATAATAAAATTAAGTAACTGAGAGCTGAGCTTTTGTTTTCAGCAGTTCATCCGAGTTCTTAATGTTTGCTGTTCTCCAAATCGGGCTCCCCCAACCTGGTGTTCCACCACAGCTGGTGGGGGGCGCTAGAGGGTGTAGTCCACCGCATCTGGAAGGACCAAGTGGCAGAAGGATGCTTTCCGTGGTGTCCTTCCCCCTTTGCTCATTTGCATGTGCTTCTTCACAGAGGAGAGGCTGGGAGATTTCCCATGCGGGGAAGAGAGACCTGCCAGGCAGTGTGAAGAAGGCATCTGCAAAAAATATTGGGAGGGTCCCAATTTTGGGATTACCAACTTTGACAATATCCTGTTCGCTGTGCTCACCGTCTTCCAGTGCATCACCATGGAGGGATGGACAGACATCCTCTACAATGTAAGTACAACCAGCAAGCATTCGGTGGCCCTGTTAGACTGCCATTATTTGTTAGTTGTGTGCGGGCTTAATTTGTCTTGGATCTCAAAGCTAGTTGGAAGGGATCCTGAAGACAATCTGATCTGGTGGGGAACCAACATGGTGCTTGTGAAATCAACTTTGCCTTACTAGAACCTCCAGTTCTACTGACTTGAACCTGGTACAAACATAGTCATTTCAAATTAAAGAATTCTGAGTCAATCCTTATATTTGAGTGTTAGAAAAGGCTATCATAATCTATGGGTGTGAAAGCTGGGCAGGGAAGAAAGCTGGTGGGAAGAGATGGATGCGTTCAAAGCCTGGTGCTGGAGGAGGGCTTCACAAATACCCTGGGCAGACAGAAAGGCAAACAAGGGGGTCCTGGATCAGATCAGGCCAGAGCTTTCCCTAGAAGCAAAATGACAGAGCTGTCATACTTGAGAATGCGAGACTCACTTGAGAAATCAATCACGTTAGGGAAACTCGAAGGCAGGAGATGAAAGGAAGACCAAATAATGGACTGAATCCATGAAGGAAGCGATGGCCTTGAATTTGGAAGAGTTAAATGGAGTTGTCATAGGACATTTTGGAGGACTTTCATTCATTGGGTCCCCACAGGTGAAAGGCTACTTATTGGCACAAAACAGCAACAGGAAGGCAGCTTTTCTGTGGAGAAAACCATTCCCAGTCACCCCACACACTTTTCATTTCAGCAGTGTGATTTAGGACAGCACATCTCTCGGTGGCTGCTGCTTGGTTGCTCCTCTTGTTCATTAGCTAGAAAATATTTTTTGGTCCCAATCTAATGCGAATCACCTGGAGAACTTCCTATAGACCCAGATCTAATGTCTGCTATCCCTGTTCTAGTTTAGCTCCCTGCTTAGGGCAGGATCTGTGATCCAGGGTGCTGGTCTCTCCCTGTCCTCCTTCCAAGCAGATGAAGACAACACACTTCTAATTACAGTCTTTGTTATATTAAAACTGGCCAGCTAAGCTGGTTTTGTGATCTAAAAGGAGAATTAGAAAAAAAGAAAAACACCAGTCAAGTTGGGGTACGAACATTAGGGAAAAACACCTTATGCTAAAAAGTTGTTTCCAAACTAAATCTGTTTTCTCCCTTCCTGACACCAAAAGGGGTTAACTCCATCCTCAGGAAGGTTCCTGATGCTTGTAGGTCAGATGGTAAGAACACTGGATGTTAGTTGGTCTGCTTTTTGATCTGATAACGGACTATGGAGTTAATTATGTCGCATCTGCCCCATCTAACTCCTCTGGTACAATACAGTTTATCACTGAACCAGATGTGAGCTGATTCTCACCAGACTCTTGCCTTATCACCAAGCCTCCCAGCCCTGACATTTCGACTACAGTTTCTGGTCGTGCTTCTTGTGGTTGTGATTCAGATTCAAAGGAATGCAGTGGGCAAAGGAATGTTTCAGCCATGCCCTGGGCAAGCTCTAGTTCTGGCACCAGTGAACATTCCTTTGGGAATTTAATAAATAAATAAATAAATGTCTGTTCTGAAGTTGAGTGATGTTTGAGGCAGGGCAGCTGTACCCAGAAGACAGGAAAAAAGCCATGTGCTCATTATTCTCCACCATGCAAATAGGATGGGTAGATAGATCTGGCTGAGGGGCTTTCACCGGGAACCCCCTTTGTGAATTGCAGCATTAGTCACAACTTTCAGAGGTCAGGTTTAGCACTTCTATCCAGCTCAGTTGGCGTGTTTCAGCAATAGTGTTTCCAATCAGCCTGGCTCATAGCTTTCTACCACCCAGAGGAAGTTGGCTTGCTTGGTTTTTCTTATGTAGTCAGTGAGAACTCAGCATGGATGTTGGGGAAAAAACTGTGTGGAAGGCCATTCTAACTGTGTGTGAAGGTATCTGGAAATTGGCTTAGAGACCTATGTATTTCCAGGCTCTTAGTCTCCCTCCCGTTGCCGATAATGAATTAATGTATCGTATAAAGGCAAGGAGATGGATTAGAGGTTCTCTCTGGACTCACATCTTTCGTTCCTTTCTGCTCTGCTTGTTCGTGGCTTAAGCTTTTATGGGAGTGTTTCCTTTTAACTGAAGCCAATGAAAGCTTTCAAGCACGACTTTATCTGGAAAATGATTTATGCTGAAAGCAGAGCGATTAAAGCATCACTGGGGCAGGGTGGGAGGCTAATGTGTGGAACAGCAATGCGAAGCTTCACCAACGGGTTCCTGCAGACGTGTCTGTGGATCGCGTTGAGGCGAGTGTGGGTTTTGTCTGATCCAATCTCTGCCTGTTTAGTGGTGTCCTGGACATCTTGCGTCCCATCGTCTGTTCATGGGCAGAACAGGGTTTTTTCCCCTTTTGGAAATGCCCGCAAGAATTACGTTTTTTGTGTTTTGTGTGCTGCTCCACAGCTAAAGCTGCAGGGGCAATGCATTGTCTGCTGTGAGTGTCAGATTTGCCTTCTCAAGGATCAGCAATCCCCCTCGACCTCGTCTTCCTCTGTCCTCTTTTGGGAATGTTAAGAATATTCATTTTTCTAGGGTCTAGAACAGCTGGGGGATCTTTCATGTTGAAGGCGACATTATTTCAGGAGTAATCCCTGGAGGCGTCATGTCAAAGGTGGGCAGGACCCAGAGTAGGCAGTGTGTCCCTCTTCGCTCATTCCCACCTCCTTCCTCCTCTTCTGCCAACCTCTGTTACTCAGCCCCTCTTGCCACAAGCTTTCCAGTCTCCCTTGTGCCCCAGTCAGTCCCTGACTGACCAGTAGTTTAACTTACAGGTGTGTTTGTTTCTCACTGGTGTTGGCTCTCTGCTTTTCCCAGCTGTTCCATGTTTTGGAAAGGCTGGTTTGAGCTGGAAGGAGATGTTGAGACACACAGAGGATCAAACTGCACAGGGTTTCCTTTTTCTTCTGGTGCAGCTCCTGCGTTTATTCCTGAGAATCAGAAGCCAATGGCGGATCTGTAGAAGGAGCTATTGGGATGCTAGAATTAGTAGTCTAAGGCAACTGGAAGGAAGTAGGTTGGAGAAATCGGACTACGTACTATATAGTCAATGCACCACTGCTTAAAAGAGTGGGGGGATTCCATTCAGTTGCTACTCCTTAGCTAAACTGAAACTTTATTATGGACTGGATTTTGATAGCTGTAAAGTCTCACAAAACACTAAATTACCACCCTATTTCTTTTGCCATTTTCACTCTGTTAATATTTAATAATTAAAAACCAATCTCTGGCCACTAATAAATGGTTTTGATCATGTAGATAGATGGTTGAATCTAGCTAGATTGTGTATTGTCCAGGAATTCTATTTATGGGTGGCACATGCTTTTGTTTGGCATCCTAATTTTATTTCTGTAGAAGCTTCAGAGCACCCAGAGGATGCTTAATGATTATTTTTTGATATGGAGTTGTATAATAGACTGTGATCTTGACAGAACGGCACTGGTATTAAGGGGGAGTTAAATAATATTGCAAAGGTGGCTAATCACTGTGACACAAGAAGTCAAGGATGTGGTTTCTTCTGCACAAAACGAGAGAAATTGGGAAGGTTCTAGAAGAGGGCAACAAAACTGATCCAGGATTTGGAAACACTGCCCTGTGGGGAGAGACTGAGAGAACTGGACAAGTTCAGCCTTGAGAAGAGAAGACAGAGCAGGGACATGATAACCCCTCTAAGTACCTCAAAGGAAGGCCAAGATCTCTTCTTGCTGATACCAGAGTGTAGGACACAGAATAATCAAGTCAAGCTGTGGCAACTGAGATTCAGGCTGGACATCAGGAAAAGTTGCCTCACTGTCAGAGCAATGTGACAGTGGAACTAGTTGCCTGGAGAGGTGGGGGGCTCTCCCACACTGGAGACACTCAAGGCGAAACTGGGCAGCCATCTGAGTGGGACGGTGTGAATTGGTGTCCTGCACCAGCAGGGGGTTGGACTGGATGGCCTCCATGGCCCCTTCCAACTCTGCTATTCTATGATTCTATGAAAAGGCAGGTGTGGGAGCTGTCAGATATGCATGGATCAGGGCCCCGAGTTCTGTTGGTCTGTTTACTGCTGGCATTTCAAGTGGGCAGAAATTGCTTAATGAACTGATTTTTTCAAGTTCATTCTAAAGGTTGATTATAACCGGGTACCAGTATTTTCCACGCATCCTATTTTTGCAAGGAATCGTGGTGCAGGGTGGGAAAGGCCTACTTGTGGCCCTTCTCATAAGTGAGGCATTGACACAAAGTGGATGTGGCAGATAGGATGGGCGTTATTCTTATAGGAAACATAGAAACGGAGTGAGGCAGAAGGGGTCTCTCAGGCCATCTAGTCTGACCCCTGGCACCAGCCGGCTCCACTCACGACATGACCACCATGTGCATGTCCAGCCTGTCCTCGAACACCCACACCAATGGGGCCTCAACCCCCTCCCGTGGAAGCCCATTCCACACCCTCAGGGTCCCGACTGTCAGGAAGTGCTTCCTGGCATCCAAATGGAACCTTGGCTCCCTGAGCTTGGCTCCATTGGAGCGCGTCCTGCCCTCCATTGCAGGGGGGAAAAAGGTCATGAGCCACCCCTGCGTGGCACCCCCTCACATTACCTGTATGTCACCAATAGGTCCCCTCTGAGTCTCTTCTTCTCTGGGCTGAAAAGACCCAGCTCCCTCAGTCTCTCCTGATGCGGCTTACCCTGCAAACCGGCCGCCTCCCTAGTGGCCCTTCGCTGCACCAAGCTTAGCGACACAGAAGGAAAAGTGCCGTGTTGGGCCAAGCCTCTTGTTCTGGAGTCTTGGCAGTAGACATGGATGACCCCTCGGTCAGTGGGGCCCTGCATCCATTGCAGCTTTTCTTTTCCGCCTTATGGGAATGACCCACGGTCATTCTGGGGGTGGCATTCAGCGGCAGGGATAGCTCCTATGAAGTTGAAGTGCTGGCTGCCAATGCAGGAGGAAGCCCACTCACACAGGGGTCACCAACGTCCCCTGCGCCATGGGCCGCTGGTTGGGAAAGATCTG